GGCGGTGGCGGTGGAGGTGGAGCTGGTCGGGGTGGCGCTGCGCAAAGGGTCGGCTCCGGTGGTGGTCAGTGCTAGCAGCAGCAGCAGCAGCAGCAGCAGCAGCGCACTCGTGAAAAACCCCCCCTCAGCAGCGCCGTGAGTGGTACGCTGCACGCCAGCGGGGTGGGGGTACTAATCCGTGCACATACGTCCTACGCACCGGCGACCGCGCGGGTGAGCAGTGCGGGGGTGCGCACTCCACCCAGCGCTGCTTTGGCCGCCTGACGGACGCTTGGCGTCACTAGTTCCCGGAGGCTGCTGAGATCCCCCGCTGGGGTGAGCTGTCTAGGGCGGGAGAAGGTGTCTTTGACCTTGACTTTGATGCTATTCTTGCTGCCATGTATGCTGCGACTATTAGTGATGAGGGTGACTGTTATCGGTGTTATCGGTGTGATGAGGCCCCGCTGCAGACGCTTCACATGGACGTGTGGGGCCCGGCCCGCGTCCGTGGACAGGGTCACGAGCACTACTTCCTGCTGGTGGTTGACGACTACTCGCGTTACACCACAGTCTTCCCCTTGCGCAGCAAGGGTGATGTCACTGAGGTATTGATCGATTGGATCCGCGCGGCTCGTCTCCAGCTCAGGAGGAGCTTCGGCTCGGACTTTCCTGTTCTGCGTCTGCACTCTGACCGAGGCGGAGAGTTCTCCTCTGGCCTTCTGCGAGCCTACTGTCGTGCACGAGGCATCCGCCAGACCTTCACGCTTCCGGAATCTCCACAGCAAAATGGGATTGCTGAGCGCCGCATTGGCATGGTCATGGACGTCGCTCGTACGTCCATGATGCATGCGGCTGCCCCCCATTTTCTGTGGCCGTTTGCGGTTCGGTACGCGGCGCATCATCTCAACCTTCACCCCAGGGTCTCCCGGCCGGAGACCTCCCCAGCTCTGCTGTGGACGGGGAAGGTCGGCGATGCGTCTGCATTCCGTGTCTGGGGATCTCGGTCGTTTGTCCGTAACCTGTCTGCGGACAAGCTGTCCCCTCGTGCAGCTCCCTGTGTCTTCCTAGGCTTCCCCCCTGACGCCCCAGGGTGGCAGTTCTACCACCCCTCCTCTCGTCGTGTTCTGTCCTCCCAGGACGTCACGTTCGACGAGTCAGTCCCCTTCTACCGCCTCTTCCCCTACCGCACTCCTTCCCTCCCGCCGCCGCCGCACTTCCTTGTACCAGGTCCCCCCCCGCTAGACCCCCTTAACCCTCAGGGTCCTGCCCCTTCAGGTGTGTCCCAGGTCGATGCAGTCGAGCCGGTCGAGGTTGCTGGTGACTCAGGTACTGCTGGGGGTGCTGAGCCTGGGGGTGCTGACTCTGGGGGTGCTGAGTCTGGGGGTGCTGAGCCTGGGGGTGCTGAGTCTGGGGGTGCTGAGCCTGGGGGTGCTGAGCCTTGGGGTGCTGAGCCTGGGGGTGCTGCCTCTGGGGGTGCTGAGCCTGGGGGTGCTGACTCTGAGGGTGCTGCGCGCGTGGGTGTTGAGCCTGGGGGTGCTGAGCCTGGGGGTGCTGCGTCTGGAGCTGGTGAGCCTGGAGGTGTGGAGCCTGCGGCCACTGGACCTCCCCTTGTGGCGTCTGACGGTACTGGGCCTGGAGGTTCTCCGGGTGTTTCGTCTCGGCGGGAGCCACTCTCTCCACAGGAGCTGCGTGAGTGGTTTGCTCGCCGCTGGAGGCGTACTGCTGGAGCTGGCGCTTCTTCGGCCGCTGAGGGTGCTGGTGCCGCCGGTCCCGGAGCTGCTGGGCCTGCGGGTCCGCCTAGAGCTGGAGCTGCTGAGGTTGTTGGTTCTGAGACTACTACTGTACCTCCTGGTGGTGGTCGTGCTGCGGGTACTGCTGGCGCTACTGGAGGTCTTGCCGCTGGAGGTGGTGTTGGCGCTGGTGCTGCGGGAGGTGCTGAGGGTGTTGGTGCTATCCTTGCTGTGTCTGGTGCCGCCGCGCGGCCTCGGCCGTACTTCGTTCCGCTCCTTCAGCAGGTTCTTGGTCTCCCTCCTCTCTTAGAGGGTTCACCGCCTATCCAGTCGCAGTCACAATTACCGCCGGCCTCCCCACTGCCTTCTCCGTCTCCGTACACTGGTCCTACTGGTGGTCTTGCTGAGCGTCGTGAGCCTGCGTTTCGTCCTGCGTCGCCTATTCGTGCTGCTCGCACTAGTGGTCGCAGTTCGCGTCAGCGTCCTCCTCCTGTCCTTGGCACGCACCAGATGTCTCTACGTCCGTCCACTGCTCCTCTGCGTGCCCCTTTGCCCTCTCCTCCTGAGTCCTCTCTTCCTGCGCTTGCCGACCCTTAGTCGGACTCTCTTCGTGCTGCTAGTCCTACTGTCACGCGTCTCCTTGCTACTGTTGTCACTGACCCTTCCTTTGAGTCCACTGCTGCGTCTGCCCTAGTTGCTGAGCTCGTCTGCGGGCAGAAAACCGCCGGACGCCCTGAGCGCACGGCGGGATGAAAAACGCCGCGCGCTCCGAGCGCGCGGCAGGAAGATAGGGTCGCGCGCCCGGGGCGCGCGACAGTAGTAGAGCAGCGGAAGCATCGGGTGGGGCCCACCCACAGGATCGACCCAGGAGGGTTGACCTACTCTGATACCATGTTAGCATCAACAAGAGTGAGCAAAAGGAGGATTTGCACTAGCAGCATTTGGCATACATATAGGAAACCCTAATTGGGTTGTACTCGCTATAGAGTACCCCACTGCAGGCTAGACAATTATAACATTCTGACATGCTAAGCGCAACGCTGACCGCCACCGCAGCTCAGTCACGCACCAGTCAGGAGACTACATACTGCTCGACACACATAAGTTAAGACTGCCCGTCGTACCAAAATTGCGACCCCGCTACTGTGGACCATTCCAAATCAGCCACATGAATTCCCTAGTGAAAGCCCACCTACTGTTGCCGACGGAGTGGTACATCAGCCCTTCATTCCACGTCAGCCTGGTTCGCCCATATGTCCCAACCATAAGCGAACTGCCTCGTCACCGCCCACTATCCATGACTCGCCCTGCATCGGAGCCGATCATTGAGCCCGAAAAAATCCTGAGCCATCGGATTCGACACGCCACGGGAATCAAGAGGATTGAATTTCCTCGTTCGCTGGAAGGATCGCACGCCAACTGAAGATAGCTGGGTGCCCCTGGCCAACATCGAAAACCACACTGTCCTGCAAGTGTACCTGAGGAGCCGGGGTTTCCGCGATATACACGCACTCACGTAGCGGAGGGGGCTTCTTGAGGGAGGGGTAGTGTAAGGAATTTTCTCAATATTCGTTAGCGCACCCTGCAACACCGCGTACAGCTGCAGCCGTTGTTCGTCCGTTATTGCTAACGGGGCTTCGCCGACTTCGCGCGCACTGTTTTACCAAACCTCGCACTGCTGGACCGGCTGTGTCGGCCTACGCTTCGGGACAAGCCCGAGCCTCGCTTCCAGCGTAGCACTAGCTAGCTCGCACGCACCGCGTTACCGTTTGCATGTTTCGCATATAAATGTTCATTCATGCCTTCGCTCACATTTTGTACTCGTTTGACACCTTAGTGCAATTCTCGCTACTTCGATTCATTTCGCCCGTAACAGTAACTGATTACGATCTTAATATATTCCTATTCCTATACGCATCCGTCAACCAAATCCCAAGAATAGATGCGAGACCCATGTGCTTGTGCTTCTGTCGTTTCACCAGGAAAATGCTGCTCTTGCGATGTGAGTCGTGTCGGCGGTGTGCAATCGAGTCTGAAGTGGGACGTCAACGGATGTCGACAGATCCTGACGGTCGGAACCCTCAATCCGAGGGCTAACATTTACCGACATCCCCGAAGTTTTGTCAACGGATGTTGACGTTCGCTTCGAACACCCGCTAATCGAGTCGAGTCCCTTGCCTCTCGTGATTCTTGTTCTCCTAGTTCCTCTCATGATTCTTGTTCTTCCCTTGCTTTCTTGAATATACACCGAAACTGCGATAATTCCACACCCCTTATCTTTATACCCGATGGTAGCCACCCTCATTTAGTCTGATTTTGAGAGTGGTTCACAACATTATTTGATTTATATAGGTTACACTCACGCAATCCCGTGGCGAGATTTCCCGAAGTACAAGCATGATGTGGAGATTTTCCCCTCTCAATCTGACTGTGAAGTGTAAGTTTCGTGAGGCTGGACGTTCCGGTAATTTAATTATAGACCCATATTTTCAGGGTGCTTGTGTCTTCGAACCAAAAACTATTTAGGGTGTCTGGCTAGGGAAGCGTACGGGGTGTGGAATTATCGCAGTTTCGGTGTACATAAGCAGTTTGTTGGGGTGATGCGAATCGGAAGCTAGTTCACGTCGACACTTGGCTGGTTCCTTAGCTTTTCTGTTTTCCATTCACTGCTCTGATCCTTAGCTCCTGCGTTGCGTGCCTCAAAAGTCCTCTCGGTGCTCAGTGTTCCTCAGCATCTGAAGTGCATCGCAGTACTTTCTCAGTCTACCTCCTCCTCTCCCAGCCTAACCCACTGCACCGTCTGAACGTCAGCGCTCTCGCGAACTCCCGTTAAATAACCTATTCACTCAGAGGGGGAAGCGTCCAACGCGTAAAATTTCCGCGTCGCGCGTCGCACGACATCATGTGGCTTTGGATAGTGCGCCTTGCGAAGAAGATCATGCCCAAGGTCCGCGCCAGACGCGCCGCAAGGCGCGGAGAGACACAGAATGAGACTGCGTCGGGTTAGACGCCCAGTACCAGGCTACTGAAGTATCGATGGACATTACTTATGTTTAGGAAATGTGTGCACTTGCAGGATAGCAACGCTTGGCTACACTAAGTATTGTTGTGATTAATCACCCCATTTTGTAATTTATTTGAGGGCCTTTGCATACTTTCCAGGTGCCCCCCGGGCTGCTTCTTTGACATAAACTGAAACGGCCAGGGCATAATTTTGTCAACAGAGAACCATTGGCTGCATGCCAGGCGTTCGTCCTCAAAAGATAAGACTTCTGATATATAGTTGGCAATTCACAGTACTTTGGCAAAAGCAGCTGCTGCCATGGGCTGTAGCACGTTGATTCCAAGTAGAAAGGCAATGGCTGTTCCGATGGTGTAGCCAAATGTCCCCAGTAGCACCGCAGGACGCACCTGGAAATTCAAGGGATACAACAATGGGTTTTCTTTGTTACAGCAGAAACATATTGTTGAATATTCTGGGCTGAATGAAGCAATGCTGCTGATGCAAGTGAAGAGAGGATAGGGAGTGGCAGTTGGATGGACCAGTGGAATGTATATTGTACCATGAAATCGCTCACACCCTGAAACCCCATGTGTTACCAGTACAGACAGTGCAGGTTTCTAGACGATAAACCCAACAAAAAACCTGAACACTGTAGCTGGTCTCACCAGTTGGGGCCAATTGCGGGCACTGGCCATAGCAGCAGCAGTGGCAGGACCCCCCACATTGGCATTGGATGCTACCATTAGCTGATTGGGGGGGGATGGGAAGGGATGGAGAAGCAAGGATGGAAGCGACATAAGGGAGGTTATTTGGCGTCTCGAAGCAGCCATGGAAGAGATGCTAGGGAAGGAACGAAATGAGGGACCAGAGGGGTAGAAGGAGAGGAGTAACAAGACAGAACACCTTCTTCTTCTCTTTTTTTTTTTCGTTCTTTTTTGTTTTCTTTGCTCCATTCATCTGCATAGGAAATCACTATACGGAAAAACATATGTGATGCTGTGACAGTGTGTTTTTAACTGACTCCACATTGTTCCGCAAGTTTCTGTATGGGAACTAGATGGACAAAAAAAGAGGGTAAGGAGCCAGAGCATCAGCGCTAATAAAAGCTTGCATAAGGAAAAGGATGCAGCACTTACAATATCGAGTGGGATGTTGAGAAGTCTTCCCCCTAGAAGAACTACTACAATGTGAACCTGATGTGGCGGGCGGATCGTGCAGCAAGGAATGGAAAAGGGGGAAAGATCAGGAGTTTGGAAATGCCTACGAGTGGCTGAGGGAAAACAGAGAACAGAGAACAAAACAACTAAAGGGAATAGATTGCAACTTGTGGTGGAAAAAACGACTCCTTCAAACTACAATTTTCAGGAGCCATCACCAATGAGCAGCAGCCATGACATACCATTAACACAGTTGCAACGAATGCAAGCAGACCACCACCAGCGGACATGGCTTCAGACACACTTGCTGACGCTCCTATCTGCCAGAGAAAGGGTAAAGGGTAGCTAAATGGTCAAGACGGATTAGGTAGCACCAACGGTTGCAGCCCCATCTTGTGTACTAGCTTAAAGCCCGAAATCCTACTGCCCTCGGACATCTCAAGGGTACCTGGAAAACGCTGATTGATGCCCATGAAGGAAAGGGGGTGACTATTAACTTGCTCGGTTATGGACGCGCAGGAAGGCTTAAATTTGCAAAGAAGACCAGAATTAGGGAGTTCCCAAGCGTCTCTGCTCCTGTGGACAGTGAACAGTGAATTTTTTAGGCGCCTGGAAAATAAGCTTACATTTGCAAAGAAGACCAGCATCAGGGAGTTTCCAAGCGTTTCTGCTCCTGTGAACAGTGAACCTCCCTCCTCTCCCTCCTCTCCCTCCTTTCTCTTCTCCCCCCGCCCTGTCAGCCTGGCTGCTACAGTCGACAGGAGGGAGGCCAGCAGGGCGGCAAGCGCCAGCTGTGCCGAGGCCATCACGGGCGGCAGGTGGACGGCAATTTTGTCCGCTAGCGCGCATGCTGAGGCGGCAGCGGCAATGGAGAGAGTGAGGGACTCCACCGAGGGGGCGGGGGGTGGAGAGTGAGTGAGGTGTGAGGAGGATGAGGAGGGAGGGGAGGGAGACGGCAGAGGAGCAGGAGTGTGCAAGGATGAGGAAGAGGAAGAAGAGGCGGAAGGAGAAGGAGAGGAAGGAGACGGGGAGGAGTGGAGGAGAGGAGCCGAAAGCCCTGTATCTAGCCTTTTCTCCGACTCATCAGAATTGCCTCCTATCTTCACCCCTCCCCACCTCTCCCCACCCCACGGCTTGGGCCAGGAGTCCGGGAGGGCAGCAAGCACCGAGAAGTAAGCGGCCATGAGAAGGTTATCGACTGCCATGCCTGCTGTGAGTAAGCTGGCTCCCGTGCTGGCCGCTGCCGCTCCTGCTGTGATGTCCATGCCCAGGGCCTGATATGCATGTGCATACAGGAAGGAACGGACGGGAGGAGCAAGGGAGACATAGAGCACTGAGAAGTAAGCGGCCATGAGGAGATCGTCCACCGCCATGCCTGCTGTCAGCAAACTGGCCCCCATGCTGGCTGCTGCTGCTCCTGCTGTGATGTCCATGCCTAGAGCCTGTGGTGTGTGGTGGTGAGAGGGGAGGGAGGCAGAGAGCAGCAAGCACCGAGAAGTAAGCAGCCACGAGGAGGTTGTCCACCGCCATGCCTGCTGTGAGTAGGCTGGCTCCCGTGCTGGCTGCTGCTGCCCCTGCTGTGATGTCCATGCCTAGAGCCTGGTGGATGTGTGAACAGGTGAGAAGAGGAGATTCAGCGAGAGGGACAGAGAGTAGGGAGAGTAGGCGGCTACGAGGAGGTTCTTGAAACTCAACTCTCTTCTTCCATTGCCTCTCCCTCTCTCCTCACCTTAGCAGTGGCAGCGTAGTCCACGCTCCTCCCAATGTACGCAGCACAGAAGCAGGCTGGCACCCTTCATTTTCCTAGTACTCTCTCTCTGTCTCTCCTTCATCCCTCTGCCTCTCCCTCTCTCCTCACCTTAGCAGTGGCAGCATAGTTAACACTACCACCGATGTACGTCGCACAGAAGCAAGCCGCCACCTTCCACCCCTCCACCCCAAGGGAGGGCCCGGCCAATGAGAAGCCGACAAGTGTCCCTGCAATCGTGCCCGCTGCACCCAGCAGGAACGCTAGCAGGCCGGGACCTGATTGGAGGGGAAGGCAGGGGAAGGGGGGGAGAGGAGAGAGACGATTTTGAGACGTTCCGAAAATCGCCCAGAAGGAAGGCTAGCAGGCCGGCCTGATTGGGATAGGCAAGGGAGTGGGGGTGGAGAGAGCGGGAGAGAGAGGGCGTAATCCATGTGATAAGGCGAGGCAGCATGACATTGGATGGCATTGTTGGCATGGCATGGGCATGGCATGGGCATGGCATGACATATGGTAGCTTGTTGTGAGGTCCTGCATAGCATAGAATGGCACGGGATGATGTATGCCTCACCTGACTGTGTGAATGCTGACGTCACATCTGTTTCTAACAGCACCAGAGCCACGGCCATGGGCATGACACGTGTCCACACCTGATTGGCAGGCACAGAAAGAAGAGGAACTCACAAAATCGTGAGCACAGGAAGTAAAGAAAACAAACGAACAAAAAGACAACTCGGCTGCGAAGATATTTTCGCGGCGTGCTCAACGTTACGACGTGCGCTCACGATATTTTTGCCGCTCGCTTACAAAATCATAGACGGGAGAGGCGGTGGGCAGCACTGAGAGGGAGGCCAGCACGGCTGCTGCGAGCATGGCTAGCAGCACTGACGACACCTGCTGGCCCCACGACGTGCGCTGCTCCAGCAACTGAGGGGTGGGACAGGAGAGGGGAGGGGGTGAGGGGTGGATGGGGAAACGAGACGAGAGGCCTTACAGCATGGTTAGAAGCACCGATGACACCTGCTGACCCCACGACGTGCGCTGCTCTAACAGCTGAGGGGGGGAAGGGGGATGGGGGAGGAGGTTGGAGAGACGAGGGGGGAGGAGAAGAGGGGACGCGAGACCTCACGAATTTAGAGGTTGAGCAGCATGGCTAGAAGCACCGACGACACCTGCTGACCCCACAACGTGCGCTGCTCCAACAGCTGAAGGGCGGGAGGTGGATGATGGGGAGAATGGGGAAGGCGGAAAAGGGGAGACGAAAGACCTTCAATCAGAATACAGTGAACACACAGCATGGCTAGCAGCACCGACGACACCTGCTGACCCCATGACGTGCGCTGCTCCAGCAGCTGAAGGGCGGGAGGTGGATGATCGGGGAATGAGAAGGGGGAAAAGGTGAGAGGAGACCTTGGAACAAAATCCGGTGAGCAGTCAGCGTAGTGGTAGGCACCGATGACACCTGCTGGCCTTATGACGTGCGCTGCTGACTTTTGAGTCGACTCTAAAGTCAGCGTAGTGGTAGGCACCGATGACACCTGCTGGCCTTATGACGTGCGCTGCTGACTTTTGAGTCGACTCTAAAGTCAGCGTAGTGGTAGGCACCGATGACACCTGCTGGCCTTATGACGTGCGCTGCTGACTTTTGAGTCGACTCAAAAGTCAGCGTAGTGGTAGGCACCGATGACACCTGCTGGCCTTATGACGTGCGCTGCTGACTTTTGAGTCGACTCAAAAGTCAGCGTAGTGGTAGGCACCGATGACACCTCCTGGCCTTATGACGTGCGCTGCTGACTTTTGAGTCGACTCTAAAGTCAGCGTAGTGGTAGGCACCGATGACACCTGCTGGCCTTATGACGTGCGCTGCTGACTTTTGAGTCGACTCTAAAGTCAGCGTAGTGGTAGGCACCGATGACACCTGCTGGCCTTATGACGTGCGCTGCTGACTTTTGAGTCGACTCAAAAGTCAGCGTAGTGGTAGGCACCGATGACACCTGCTGGCCCCATGACGTGCGCTGCTCCAACAGCTGAGGGGTGTGAAGGGCGGGAGGTGGATGGGGAGAATGCAGTGAGCAGACAGTTAAGACAGAGACCGGGGAGCTCACAGCATGGTTAGAAGCACTGACGACACCTGCTGGCCCCATGCCGTGCGCTGGTCTAGCAGCTGAGGGGAGTAGGAGGGGAGACGGGTGGATGTGGGAAACACAGGGAGCACATAGTGAAGAAAGAGACAAGAGAGCACACAGCATGGCCATGGGTACAGATTCAATTTTGAGGGGCAGAATGGGGCAGAGGAAGTGACTCTGGGGAAAAGAGGGAGAGAGAGCGTTTAGAGTGAACGGAGTGACTTTGGTAACCCAAGTCACCTGTTAGCCGTATTCTGTGCGCTGCTCGGAGTTAGATGGTGGGGAAAAGGGGGAGGAGGAGAGGAGGGAAAACAGAGTGATTATCGACTTGGGATTTACTAGTCGTGGTGAGAGAATAGAAATCACGATGTGAGTTGAGCACGCTCGTTATAGTCACCTGGGCGCCAGCGGCGCACGCGCACAGCACCGCCCAGACCGCTCCGTCTGACAGCCCGTCGCCTGCAGCAGCGACGGCTGTAGCTGTAGCAGCACCGGTGGCCGCGGCGGCTGTAGCAGCGGCAGTTGTAGCAGCACCAGTGGCAGCAGCGACAGCCGTAGCAGCATGAACCGGCATGGCAACACCTGCTACAGCCGCGCCGCATGCAATCGCGATCAGCACGCCCAACGAACCCGCCCCTGCGGCTGTAGCAGCTGCGCTACATCCGCTGTTCGTCCCATTCCCAACCGCCACGTGGCCGGCACATGGCTTCCTGTAAGCCGCAATGCTACAGCCGCGCCCGGTTGTCCGAACTGACTCGTGGGCGGCACGTGGTTTCCTGGAATCCCCAATGCTACAGCCGTCGGCGGTCTCGGCAGCCAGGCTGCTGGCACGGCGGCTCCCATCACGCTCTCTGCTACAGCCTGTCGCATCTAGATTGTGAATGCTTCTGCTACAGCCAAGGTTGTCAATGCTACGGCTAAATATTATACCTCCTCTGCTACAGCATGTGCGTCTCCGGGTAAAATCCTCTCTGCTAGAGCATCTAGCGGCAGCGGATGTGGCGGCAGCGGCTGTGGCGGCAGCCTGATGAAACGGCGCCGCTGCTGCTACAGACCGGAATGGCATGACTGAGGAGGAGAGGAGGAGACTAACCCGTCAATTCGTCCTAAAACTGTTATTGAGGCGCCTCAAAAGGACAATGAGGAGAAGACAAACTCGTCAATGCGTCCTAGCTGCGGGTATATCAGGATGAGAAGATTCGAGCGCCGGTACTATCAGGAAAGAATGCTCCTCGCGAGGATGGTTCGGAATTTTATAACAGAAAATGGATAATAATCTGCTTTTGAGTCGGCTCTTTAGCAATGTTATAAATGAAAATGAGTAATCATGAAACTGTGTGTCATTCTGAGGTGAGCGTGATACTCATGAGCCTTTTCTTCGCCACCACGTGAGAAAAAGAAGGAATTCAGCGTTTAGGACCTGAAAAAATGCGACGAGAACAGGTCCATAGCCCACGAAATCACGCTGAACGTTCGAATAAAAAATTAAACGCCAAGCATTACTCCTGGACGTTCATGAGCCTCCTGACCAGCTCTTTCCACAACAGCTGGTGTACTTGGGCTGGATAATGAGTGGATTCAACCCACTGACACTCCAGGCTCCCAGAACAGAGACGAACGAAAGGTCAATACTTGCTGCTGCTGTTGCTGGGCTGATCATGAAGCCGTCTAAATACTCCGTGTGGATAAGGATGCCGACATTTTTCCCGCGCTCTTTTCGCGGCTCGCTTTAACAGATTTCGATACGCGTATTTGCAAGAAAGGTACACCAGATTCTAGACAAATTAGTAGCTTATTTTCCGAATACAGTCGCTGCCGACACTGCAAATATCAACACTAAGAGAATCTCTTCAGATTAACCACTTCTAATGGTGACACTCAAGCTTAACAGAATAGACATTATTCCAGAAGACATTTTTATTCGAATATAATGTCCCCACCAATCGGAAGGTGATCACTCGGGAAATACAAATTCGGAAGGCCCATCCCAAGCCTAGCATCTTCCCTGCTTGGCAGCCATAAGGTTGACGTAACCGAAAATGGCATTGCATCCTTCGATACAAGCACATAATCAATCGTTCCACAAAAGGGCGGGTTGAACGTTGTCAGCTCCGGTTCTTGCCCACAACCTCGTCCCTCAACCATATCTTCCATTCTGATACTGTTACCGGCAGATTTCATTGCCTCATGGACCGATGTACTACCATCCTCCTGTTTCTTGCCATCGCATCCCACTGCCTCTGATTCTGCTGGTGCTGCTCCTCCAACCTCTCCTGCTGCAACTCGCCCCGTTGTTGCTTCTCCTGCTTCTGCTGCTGTGGCTGCGTCTCGTGCTTCTGCAGCATCAACTGGTACAGCAGCCAATACTCTGCTGACAGCTGTAGCATTAAGACTTGCCAGTGGTATGGGTGCGATTGGAAATGCAGGTGCATCTGTTGATGATGCTTCTGGTGCTGCTGCTTCTGGTGCTGAGTCATCTGGTGCTCTTGATGTTGCTGTTGCTTCCGGTGGTGTTGCTAGTGTTGTGGGGAGGACCTGGCCTGATGTCAGGTACTCATACACCTGCAATGGGTGGGTAAACAATGAAAACAATTGGGTTCTTACCTATTGCACACACCCACACACACACACAGATATTCGGCTTCATACATAGGATGACTGCATGCGGATGTGATGATAGCAGGTCTGACAGGCACCATGACGCGCCCGGGCGGGCACCATGAATTGCAGCTCCAGGCGCAGGGGAATCTGCAGCTGCAGACGCGCCCGGGCACCATGACGCGCCCGGGCACCATGACGCCAGGGAGCGAGTTAAAGTCACCATGGGCCAAGAGTTGAGCTTACAGGGTCACCGGGAAGAGAGTTGAAGTCGCCGCAGATGATGGTAACCGGTGTGCTGCCTGCCGCACTTGTGACACTAGCAGATGTGTGACTGTGTGCGGAGGGGACTATAGAGGATCGGAACTGTGCCACTTGCTGCAGCAGGTAGTGTGCTTGAGCCAGCTTCACATCTGCACATGCTGGATCCCTGGGGTGAAGTGGGATGGTGGATGGTGCATGATGAGTGTAAATGGTGTGTATGATGCTGACTGTTGAGTCGACTCAGAAGAGCCGTGCCTCCTGTTGCAGCAGGTAGTGTGCTTGAGCCAGCTTCACATCTGCACATGATAGATCTCTGGGGGGGTGTGGGATGGTGGATGGTGCATGTGTGAATGGTATGGTATGGTGGTATGGCATAATGGCATGCTATGTATGGTACAACATGTGTGGGCAACTGAAAAAAAGCTACCACAAGATAACAAGAAAATTCCTCTGGTTGATAACAAACGAGTTTTTGGTGTTGAGAAAAAAAAAATGACACGCCACACATACGGACCAGAATATGTGAGATGACGCCACCACCACCTGAAAGAAGGAGTGTTTTGAGACGTTTCATACGGACCAGAATATGTGAGATGACGCCACCACCACCACTCGCCCCTCTCCCTGCTGCCCTCTCTCTCCTCCTCTTCCTCCTATCCCTTCCCTAACCACCTCCCTTCCTGCCATGCTCTCCCCATCCTCTGCCTCCTCTCCTTCCTTTTCTTCACTCGCTCTTTCTTGGAACGCCGCAACAATGGCGACACAGTCGCGCTTGAAGCGAACACGCGGATCATGCTGGTCACGCGATTCAGACAGGTCAGCACCGGCACTTGGTTTCTCAGTCGCCTCCGACACATGGGAGGCGGATAGGTCTCGGGTTTCTTCGGACGAGTCGGGACTGGGAGTGTCTGCTTGGGCCGGCTGGTTTGGTTGGTCTGGGTGGTCTGGGGGAACGAGGTCGTTGAAGTTGATTGGTTGCCAGCGAAGCAGGCGGAATCTGGGGGAGCAAGGGAAAAGAAACCATCAGGAAGCAATTCGGGGAAGCCAGAAGCAGACACGGATGAGCCGACCGACACCGAATGTCAGCGATTCGGAGAAACCATCAGAAAAATGTCGCACTGCACTCACACTTCCTATATCAGTCACTCGACCAGTAGAGAAGCCAGAAAATTACTCATTTCATCCCACATTCTTCCCTGCATCTTATGAGTTTCCTCAAACCAGCCTTGATTCTGAAATGAGTTTTCATTCATCCCACGCTCACCTGCTAGATCGGTAAAAGATGCCGCTTCCGTCCCTCTTTTTGCCCGGCCTCTTCACATACACACTCTCCCAGCCCGCAGCTGCCATCGGCTGGCGATACACTGCCTCGTACTCGTCCATCTCCTGAACACAGAGGAAGTCAGCAGAGAGGGCCGGCAGCAGCGTGAGAAGCACCTTGAACCGATTCCTCTGCCTGGTAGGCGGGAGGAGGGAGGGGGAGAGGGGAGAGCATGGGGCAAGTAGGGAGCACGGGTCACCTGAACACAGAGGAAGTCAGCAGAAAGGGCCGACAGCAGCGTGAGAAGCACCTTGATCCGATTCCTCTGCCTGGTGGTGGCAAGAAGGGCGGGGAGGTTGGGGGTGGGGGGGGCGGAGGAGGGCGGAAGACGCTTTTGGGGAAGGGAACGTTTCGGCATGAGATAGGAAGCAAAAGTAGGAAGGCGATATGAGAAATTCTTGCTGGTGGAGGGATAGTTTGATAATAAATAGGGGAAGAATTATGGAAGAGAGGCAGGGAAAGCAAGGAAGGCGATGAGCTTTAAGTCGACTCAAAATAAGGCGGACGAGATGCGAAATTATTCCTGGTGACGGGATAGTTCCAGTATTGAAGGGGGGAAATGGTAAGGAGGCGGGGAAAGCAAGGAAGGCGCTGTGTTGCCGTACGGTAAAAGCTCACAACAACAACAGTACCTGAGGGACTGTGGCGGTGAGTGGGGGAAAAGCTCGCTCTTGACATATGCCTGCGAGAGAGTGAGTTATGCAGATGAGATGACACACATGTGAGAGGGCTTATGCACTGCACATTGTCATGGATTTGACATGAACACATGATGAACACACACATATGCAAGTCGTGGCATGCAAAGAAAAATGCACATGCACACGGACATGAAAATCACGTCCAGATTTACATGACATGACATGGACTTCAAATGCACATTCACACCACCACACCACACCACTCCACACCACAATATACCACACGACACCACACCACACCCCTTCACACCACATGCCTGCGCCAGGATATTGTAGGAGATGACACGAAGTGACAGGCCTGCCGAAGGGAGCAATAATGGGAGAGAGGCGAGGGAGAGAAGAGAGGAGGGGCGACGGACAGGAAGAGACAGAATGGTATGGGAAAGAACGCGAATGGAAGAAGAGTAATAGAATCCCAACTGTATGACCCATCATCGCCATGCATCCCTCCCCATCGAAACCCAATCCCCAGTTGTAATGGAATCACTTGTAAGAATTCTCAAAACCCCAAATCCCGCCCAACCAATAAAAAACAAAGCATTCTCCAATCATCGCATCACTATCTGCTCACGTCCTCACTCACCCTCCTTCCCCATTGCCCTTGATTCCCCACCGACAGCCTGAAACTCCGGAATCATCAATGTTGCTCCTTCCCCTCCGCCTCCGCCTCCGCGTCCGCGTTCCCCCCCCCGTTCCCCGCGCTTCCCCCCATTTGTCATTTTTTCAGCCTTTTCCCGATTCCCTTTCTCCTTCACTCGCCTAAATTTCTCTCCCTTTCTCCTCTCGCCTCCCTCTTCCCCTCCACCCTCGCCCATCTTCCCCACTCCCCCGCTTGTCCGCTCCCCGATCCTCGTTCCCTTCCTTCCCTTCCCAGCTTCGAACTTCCCCGTGGCTTCCCCGTTTTCCGCAAACTCCCCGCGTGCGGGAACCCCCGGCCGTTGATCCAGTCCGTTCGAGCTATGGGGGGGCGTTGATTCAGTTCCGATTCCTGATCCGGCTTGACTTCGATCCACCGCCTCCGCACCTCCCGGCAGTTTTCCCGGGATCCCAGGGCTGCTGTTCTCATAACCCATGTCCGCACAGCGGCCTGCGCGCCGACTAAACAACCTGTGTCGAGGAACCTCAGTGCACGAAGCGTTACTAGCACTGAAAGTAGTAACTTCAGGCGGTGTTAAGGAAACGAGTGTGAATCTCGGGAACAAACAAGCCAGATTATAATAAGTAAGCCGAGAAGGGGAGAGACGGGAATCTGGACAGCTTCTGGCAACGCGGAAGCTGCTGAAATCGAGACTCTTCGAGCCGCGCGGGCTGATGAGTAGCGACAGGCGACTACTGGTAACTGCGGTTGGAGCGCGGGACACGGAATGTGCGGTTAAGAGAGCATCGCATCGCAGGTACTGGATAGCCGCAGCGGCTTTCAGCGCTGAAGATCCGGAGCGAGAAATGGTGACCATGGACGGTTGCTGATGCGATCCGGAAAAGCGTCAACGGAAACTACTCGCCCACGTGTTTGGGGTTGACGTCATGTTATGGAGGAGTTCTGATCAGTGTCAGCAGCAGATGTTGTCCGAAGCATCGAAGAGTGTTTCTAGAAATGTAACTCTCATGTGTGCTTTGAAGAGTGTACATTTTGATTATCTAACTCTTCATATATCGGGTTCAGCATTTATCCTCACGCCCCATCCCCCCAGCATCCATTCCAGCTGAGCACATGACTTTCGTGGTCAGAAACGTGTGAGCAAATCGCGACTACACGTGGCCGTCTCTTCGCAAAGTGTCCTGAAGTTGGGGATTTCATCCCCATGTGGTCTTCATTTTCAGCCTAGCAAACTCGCGTCGCGGAGGGCCTAAAGATTCTTTCTCTTTGGGGCTGATATTTTTTTTCTGGGCAAAACAGTTCAGAATCCAGTTCAGAACGGCCAAGTGCAGAGCACTTGAGGGCATGGTGGAGCAGAAGTCCGGACGAAGGCTCTGCATGAACGCCAGAGAATCATCACCGTACAGAACCTGTGCTAGCACACATAAATCGTTTCTCATCCAGTAATTTACTATTTCAACCTGGGGATGTCTGCTGAGTGGCAAAAGCACAGGGCCTGAAAGTCGGTCCATTAGTGAAAATGTTTGTTTTCGCAGTCCCCTCCCCATACATTTCTCTGCCCAGCAATCAGAACTGGCAGCCAGCCTTGAGCTTGGAGCACAGCACAGCACAGCACATTCGTCTCCTCGTCACGCTTCCTTCAATCGAGTTTCGACCATTTCTTCATCCATCTCTCACATCTCTTTTCACTTTCCAATCTCGAGGTCCCCTCTCTTGCTCAGCATTGCGTCGGTGTTTCTAGGGATTTTCAGAAACACAGTAGCCGGCGCCGGGCCGAGTCCACACAGGAGAACCTACAGGTTCTAATTACACCAGTCCATTTTCTTGGCTCGAAGCTCAAGTTCCGTAGTCCCATAGGTGTACGGACCTCGAGCTCCAATGGCTGCTTCCACCAGCCAAGCCCTTCGCTCAGGGCTCTCCTCCGTGAGAGCAGCGAGCAGCACCCCAACCGACATTTCTTCCTCGCGTCGAGATGGCCAGACTCGCAATAGGCTCGTCGTTCAAAAGAGTCCGTTTCTTGGAAAACTTAGTACGCCAGCCGGGAGATTGCTTCTCCCAGCGAGGTCTTCCCTTAATTGTGTACGCTCCTCGTCTGCTCTTCGCGTTAACGCTGTTATCGAAGCACCTCCTAACGGAAGCGTCAGACAAGGCGATAACTCCTCCCCATGGACCCCGGAGGAAGAAGAAGGCGGTCGCGCGCTTTACAGCGCGTCGGGAAGGTCGTCAAACGGATCAGAAGCGAAAGTCGTCGGAGCGACGGTTATCGCTACCAGCAACGGAAGCGCGGTGAAGATGGTTCTCGCTGACGAGGTCGGTAAGAACGGCGCAGCGAACGGCGCGACAAACGGCGCAGCAAAGGCTGCTGCTGTTGTTGTGGAGGAGAAGATCGGCGAAGGTTCGAAAGGCGTGGAGGAGCTTACAGTGGAGGATCGCCCGTGGTTCGAGAAGGCTCGGGCTAGCAATGTGCAGGTTCGTCCTCGTTATAAATCGACTCGTTTTCACAATGTCCTTGTGATAAGTGGTGTCTCTCTTAGTACAGCGTCCGTAGCATAATATGGTCCTGCAGGTCTCGCTTCTAGTGTAGCTTCGAGTCTTCGAAGCCAGAAGGGGGTCGATTCCTGAATAATTGCTTGAAATAAGACGTCTTGGATTCTTTTGACGTGGTTTACAGGTGTCCGTGGCGCCAGGCGGACGGTGGAACCACTTCAAGACGTACTCCGTCATCCAGCGCACCTTCGAGATTTGGAGCTTCGTTATTGTCTTCCTCGTCAAGGTACGCAATATAAGGGGCTGTCAGGTGCGTGATACGCTTAGTGTTCATCAGGAACGAAGTGGAATGGAAATCACACTGGCACATCTGTACGATTCGGAATCGCTCAGGAAGTACATAATTACTGTACGGAAGGAAATCGAAATCAAGCACGCGGGCATATCAAAGCAGATATCGAGACCGCTATTTAACCGCGCTCAAAGGCTTTGCCGCTCATCACACGGTCTAGGCGACTATCAGCGGGCACACGCGACGAACAGACAACAAACAGCAGTTCCGACGTTTCCTCTTCGCTCACCCCCTCGCTTCCTCTACTTTCACCCGCATGTCTCCCGCGCACCTTCTCCCGTCTCAGGCGTGGCTGATCAACCGCCCCTGGATGTACCGCGGCGGAGTTACGGACGCGAAGAAGGGCGAGCGGCGGCGGGAGCTCGCGCGGTGGCTCAAGGAGGGGCTGCTGCGGCTGGGCCCCACCTTCATCAAGATCGGCCAGCAGTTCTCCACCCGCTCGGACCTATTGGCTCAGGAATACATTGCGGAACTCTCAGAACTGCAGGTGAGGGGCTGGGATGGGCGTTGGTCTGAGTGTCGGAGTTTCCTCACTAGATCGCTGGTTCCTGGTCTGTTTGGCTCAAGGAGGGGCTGCTGCGGCTGGGCCCCACGTTTATCAAGATCGGCCAGCAGTTCTCCATTCGCTCCGACCTCCTTGCTCAGGAATACATCGCCGAGCTCTCAGAGCTGCAGGTGAGAGACGCTGGGACTAGCCTTCCAGTTGCCAGCAGTTCTCCACCCGCTCGGACAGGAGCACATCGCAGAGCTCTCACAGCTGCAGGTCAGAGACTGGGCCGAGAGTTTCCCCTATCTGACCTTCTCCCTGCTTTCATCCAATCGTGTTCTCCCCTCGCTTCCATCCGTCGCTCCCTGCCTTCCACCCACTTTCACCTTTCCCTCCTGCAGGACCAAGTGCCACCGTTCGAGTCGGACACGGCTCTAGCCATAGTGGAATCGGAGCTGGGCAAGCCCATCTACGAGGTGTTCGAGCGCTTCGACCGCGACCCCATCGCGTTCTCACCACTCTCACCCCCTCCCCCACTCTGCCATCCCGCAGGACCAAGTGCCGCCGTTCGAATCCGACACAGCTTTGGCCATCGTCGAATCGGAGCTGGGCAAGCCCATCTACGAGGTGTTTGAGCGGTTCGACCGCGACCCCATCGCAGCGGCCAGCCTGGGGCAGGTGCACCGCGCGCGGCTGCAGGGCAGGGAGGTGGTGGTGAAGGTGCAGCGGCCGGGGCTCAAGGACCTGTTTGACATCGACCTCAAGAACCTCCGCGTGCTCGCCGTGAACCTGCAGAAGATCGATCCAAAGTCGGATGGGGCTAAGCGGGACTGGGTGGCCATCTATGACGAGTGCGCGTCCGTGCTTTACGAGGTGGGTGTGCGTGTGGTGGCGTGTGATTGTAGTGGTATGTGATTGTAGCAAAGTGTTGGCCGAAACAGACGGCGTTAGAGGGTCTGTCGGGGGTGTGTTGCCGTCTACGTTGTGTGCGCATCTTTGGTGCCTGAGGTAGCCAAAGATGCCTTACCCCGTCTTCCCCTTCCAACCCAACCC